GAGGCAAATATTGGTCAAAACAATGTGAAATGAGAAGCAAGCTCTGGGCCCTTTTGCTAACACCTACCACCATTTTGTACTCAAAGATCACCATTTTGTCTCTTTCTGCTTACATTTCCTAACTAACTTCAAATGAACCCTTTTAAACCCATGAGTTAAATTCATCACCTATAACTATTTTTTATTATAGGTATCTTAATTGAATTGTGAAGATCTCAAACTTTAATTTATTCACACTGTTTCTTTATTATTATAGGTATTTTTATTGAATTATGGAGATCTTGTGCATAAATGTATTCACCTTTTTACTTTTGTCTTCTTATGATCACAAACTAAGCCACAGGACCTTCATTAAATATCATATTAGAGAGTTTACATCAATTTAAAATAACTAAGTGACCACTGTATTTCCTTATAGTAGACTTTGAATCATTAATTAAAAATCCACATTAATCTACATAAGATAAGATTAGAATTAGCCCATAGTTAATATAGCCTCTCCCAAGTTACAAATGCTGTGCAGGAAAGAACTAAAAATGCAATATGATGAAGTCTAAAATAGCCGACATACTTTATTATATTTAAACTCCACACATAGGATCCAACACCAAAACTATTAATCTTACACTTTGCTTCCCTCTAGACTCCCCAGACTGCTGCATCCGAGGACGGCAAGCAGGTGTTGGTGAGGATTATGTGGGACAACTTGAAGCTGCACAAAGATAGAGTTCAACCATGCTACGTTTTGTGGAATACACACTGTAAGTCGATTTCTGCATATCTCTGTTACACTGTATTATAATGCAGAGCACCCCAAATGTCCACTAATATCACAAATAAATTTTGCTTTAAACAACATTTTGATGCATCCAAATAAAGTTGTCTGTGGTAAACCTGGGGCTTCATAAATAATTTCACTCATGACTCCTGCTAGCTTCACAGGCTTTGTCATTGCTGTCACATTTGACTTTGAGTGCTGCAGATGAATGATCCTTTGATCGAGCTGATGTTTAGTTGCTTCTGTTTTTACAGGTGCCAACTCTTTGATCCGATCTGGGCTTTGTGAAGAAGGGCAGCTCTTCACCGTTGAACTGCTGCAGGGCTTTGTGAGGAGCATCAAGAAGAGCGATGTCTATCAGCCCATGAGCCAGATCATCCAGCTGCTGGGTCCTGAGTTGGGCTTCAAAAGACAGAGGTAGGAATGAAAGATGTTTTTTGTTGTTATAAACTGCCTTGAGAGGATGAATTTGGATGGAAAGTCTGAGAGTTTTTCTCTTCTCTACCTCAAAAGGAGCATCTACAGGGATTTACTGTTTTTAACTCTGGTGGCTTTGGGGAAGAGCAACATTAACATCAGTAAGTTCACTTCTTTAATTCTTATTAGCACCACAAAAACCTTACATTTTTAGTTTAGTGAGCAGAAGCTTCAGGTTTCGATCTACAGTTCATTTTATATGTGTTCAAACTGCTTTAAATATTTCAGTTTATCACAGTGAAACTACTAACATCAGTTCATATTATTTGAGATTTGTATGTTTATTCCAATAGAATACATTGGCTTATATGGTTGTAACTGGATATCGACCAACACAAGTTTTCTAAGGCTGTTGCCAAATATTTTAGCATCAGTTTAACAGATTTCCAATTCAAGCTGCAGAGTGTTTGGTGCCAAGTGTTGAAGCCAATATTGCTTTTTCTTCCTCAATTTGAATCATTTAAACAACAAAATGACCACAACTGTTACACTGGTGTCAATTTTAACAACAACAAAAAACACTTATTAACAAATAAAACAAAATATTAACCATAGATGTTAAGTGGAAGGGCCACAAAAGCAAGCTTTACAAGTCATCTCAAAGCGTAGTTGCAGAATAAAATAATGAACCGGCAAACACATGCATGTATCGGCCTTTGTAGGGAAAAAAAAACAATATTAACCCAAATCAGTCAGCTGTTGCATTATCCTATCTCAAATCTTAACATGACAAAATGTAATTGCTAGGCTGCCTACATAACTTAAATTGTTGTGGTATTACGCGTAGCTTTATTTTGTTTAGCATCTTGCAAGGTGAGTTATAAAGTTTCTTACATCGTCAGATAAAATGTTTTTGTTTTCTCTTTCCAGATGCGTTTGATCGTGAGTACAAGTTGGCCTATGATCGCCTCACCCCCAACCAAGTTAAACTGACCCACAACTGTGACAGGCCCCCAGGCGCTGGGGTCATGGAGTGCAGGAGGACATTTGGAGAGCCCACTTTGTAAACATTGTCATATATATTATAAATTCTACCACAATCACTGCTGCTGTTTTGTTGGACCGCTCTTCACACTCAGGACCAGCTCACCTGACTTGAGGATGGAGCTCTTAGTAAGCACAATGGAACAATCACCCTTTGATGCAAAGCAACTGCCATGAGTTTCTTGTTCTCTTAGAGCTGAGAGGTATGAAAGCCTTGAGTTTGTAAGTATTTAGAGTAAATCCACCATATTTTGAATATTAACATGTTTGTACAGTTGTTACACAGTTTCTTTTTGGCTTTATTCACGTTAAAACTGAATAAGTAGGCAAATGTGAGCATTAGGTTACATTGTGAAATGGTTCTCAGTGGTCCTGGTGACCTTATTTGGACTGTTGTTGCTTTTAGATGTTCATCATTTTACAAAGCACTTTGGCAGGATGCACTGGGTTGTCTTTGTTATATAACTCAGCATTCCTGCAGCCAAAGCTATAAAGTTGCACTTCATTTAGCATTAGCAGGAGCTGCCGTACTGACATTTCATTTGGATTCATTTAATAAAACTAAATCTATCTCTGCTAACATGCACTCTGTAAAACTGTTATTGTCAAGCTCATTTATCTAGTTACATAAACCAGATGATAATACCAATGCTAGCTTGGAAACAAGGTAAAAATGAACTTTGTTCTGAGACTTATTAGGGAATATTATCTGTTGGTTTCCAAGCCAGTGTGTAGTATCTGACCTTAAAAAGGAGATGTGCTTTTAAACTGTGTAATCAAACTAAAAGTGAAGAATTTTATTATTTTCTTTAACAATGTTTTTTTTCTACAGAGGCTTTATCAGACGCAGTTCTAGATACCTGTAAATATACAGAACGTTTGTATTTTGTATGCTTTGTTTCTGTTGTTTTGGATACTCGGGCAGCTGTGCACTGTTTATTGTGAAGTACAGATCAAAAAAAAGGTTTTAAACCTCTACAACTTTGAACATGATGTCAGCAAAAGATTTTTTGCACTGCAGTCAACACTTAAAATTTACAGCATACAGCTCTGATCTGCCTTGTCTCCATCTTATTTTAATTTGAAGCGTAGAACTTCCGCCTTTTTAAAGGGTAATAAAATGGAAGCTGAGAAAAAAATAAAAATAAAAAATAAACATAGACTTTTTATTTAGCTTTGCAATCACGTCTGATGATACTATGCTGGATGGACCGAGGCTTCGTGCTTGGATCAAACACCAAACTCACAGCGTGTATATCTGCATTATGACCACCTCGTAAGTGTCTGAAAACCAATGATGACCAAAATGTAATGTTATGTCTTATGTGTTGTTTACACTAACTGTGAATTTTAACAATGTTTCTGAATTATTATTTATTGTTTGTAACACAACTACTAATTTGTATGGTTTTTACATATATAAAAGAAATTCTTCCCTGACCAGATGTATACTTTGTCTTAATTTATGAATAAACACCTTAACCAAGTGGGTTTCAGGTTTCCTCATTCCTCAAACGAAGCTGACTAAATATATAAAAATTTCAAACTAGTCATTTCGTAAAGCAGAACTTGTTTTAAGTATTGCATATATCACAGATCAAACTGTTCACTATTTTTGTAAATGAAAATCATATGTGTGTATGTGTATTAACTAACAGCCCATGGTTATTGAAACCCTTGTTAATATTTTAAAGGCCCCTTTTTGGCCTAGAGGAAATTGCTTAGTTTTCTGTAATATTTAACAAGGTTAGAAATGAGTCATCTGCAATGATCTCATGAAAGTTCCTGGTTACCATCCTGAGAGGTAAACAATGTGTAACTATGGAAACACAGGCAGAGGTATCACAAACAAGCAAACACTAAAAGCACAGATGGAATGAGACATTTTATCATTTTGTTGTCACAATAAGTGTGGATCAAACGCTGCACCACAAAGATGCTTTGGGAGTCTTAAAATAACATCATAATCCTAAATATTTTTCTTTAAATTTGAATAAGGAACTGAATTAGAAGAATAATAAATGAGGCTACATTCATGGTTTGAAGCAAAATATGTTCATGATAATAAAAGCAGCTTTATTGATGTATTATATTTCAAAGCACTATTTTTTTTACAAGTATTCAGTGCAGTATCATGAAAGCCCTGCTGGGGGTGTTTAGATAACTATCTGTTATCTCCCTGAGTGCATCCTGTTGGTTGGACTGTATCAATGATATTTGAAATCACAACTAAAGACTTATTTGTTTAAGATTGCTTATTCTGTTTAATATCAGTTTCCCTGTCTCATCTTTTGAATATTTTTAAAATGTTTGTTATTCTTTTTTCTAAACTTTGTTTCTGCTATTGTGTTTTTATCTTTTGTATGGCGACCTTGAGTTTCCAGACAGGCGCCTTTTAAATAAAATGTATTATTATTATTATTATTACTGGGGTGTCATTTACTGTATGATTACTTATAGAAACATCTGGGTGTTGTGCAAAATCCACTCCCCAAACCTTCTTACTCCTTGAGCTGATGACTTTATAGCTATTTTATTGTGAAGGACTCTGAGATGTATAAATCTTTGAAAAGTCCTTTATAAATAAAATCAATTTACTTTGTGTTTATTAGATTCAAAACAATTTTGCATTCATCAGTTTCACTTGACACAACATACAGATATTGGTTTAATATTATATGAAAAAAACTTGTATTATTGCATGTCCTCTTCCTTTATTCATAACCAGTGTTGAACTAGAAAATAAGGGGAACACTCCAACAAATAGCAAAAATAACTTTAACAACTTTATTAAAAAGCAGATAATTAACTTGCCATGTAGATACAACCATGTAATAATCACACCCCATAATCCATACAGTTTAAAACGAGTGCTTCAGACTGTGTGCAATGAATGTAGTGTAAAGGGCATTGGGGTCTTCAGACATGATAAAGCGCTATATAAGTACAGATAATTTACCGTTTTGTCATTTATAAAACCTTGATTCCTCTTCGCTACCAAAGTCAGTGCTTCCACAAAATCAAGATCTAAAGAGCTCTCTATGCATTTTAGAAAAAAAACAAGGGTAAGGATGGCTATACTCTGAAAATTTCACAAAAAAACTTAAGATTATTATATATATTGGCTCACACCTAAAATTTCACCAAAAGAAACAGTCTTCCTTTGGAAGAGCCCTGAGATGAAATCCCATGTTCTTTAAAACATATTCAAAGTCCAAAGGAAAGTCTTTGAAAATGGAAAAACTGGGACAGAGCTTTAAAGGTATTTTTAAACTAATGCCGTACTTTTACAGTTGTTAAAAGTATATCAAAGTATATCAATTCCAAAATTAGTTTCCCTGAGTTTTAATTTGCTTTTTTTTAAAGGAAGTTTTAATTTGTGTTTGCTTTGTTTTAAGAGCAATATTTACTTCCCCCCTCAATGGGAAAGTGTTTGTTGTGAGAAAGGCTTGTGTTTGCAGTCTCAGATGGAAACAGGGCAGATGATGATCCGATCTTCCAGCATAACACTCAGCACCAGGAAGATAAAGTAGAGGAGAAACATGGTGAAACCCAGCACCTTATTCATCTTCCATTTACAGGCTGCGATGGAGATGATGACAAAGAGGAGCATGAGGAAGAGCAGCACGATGGCACAGAAAAGCCCGTTGCTGCTGACAGCCACTGGAGCTAAGCCATGGATGAAAGAGTACATGAGCCATGGGATGGGTAGGCTGGTGGAAAAAAAACATGTAAAGAAAATCACTTTATGGCAGTGATCAGTTGATTTTTTTTATAATCCTGATCGATTAAACTATGAAACCTTACCCCATAGTGATGTCAAAGATGTTACTGCCTACAGAGCTGGACACTGCCATGTCTCCTAGGCCTTTACGGGCCACAATCACACTAGTGATGAGGTCTGGGATGGAGGTTCCTGCTGCCAGGATTGTCAGGCCCATAATCTCCTCCGAGATGCCGATGGTTTCTCCCACCTTAGAGACAAATCAGAGTTCCACAGAAAGAAGGAACACACTGCAAAAATGTCTTCAATTAAGTGTATTTAGCCTTAATTTGAGTAGGTAAATAAGAGGATTTGCCAATGGAAAGAGTATTTTTACTCTAAAATTAGATAATATGCACTTGAAATAAGACAACGCAATTTTTTTTTTATTTCAAATGTAAATTATCTTGTTCCATTAACTTCTTAATTCCCGAAAAAAATGCACTTATTTTAAGAAAAAATGACTTATTTATATAAAAATGTTTTATAGTGCATAAAAGGAAGTGGAATTTGATTTCTCACATCAGCAACAGCTACCACTTTTCTAATACTGAAGCACTGCAATAACTGACCTGATGGGCCCACCACACCATGAGGTAGGAGAAGATAGCAATCCACATAATGGAGCCCAGAAAGGTGAATACAAAGAATTTTCTGGATTTCTGGTGATTAAAGTAAGTAATGTAAAGGCAAATTTATATACGATTGCATCATACCACAGCAGCACTCTGACATGTCTCTTCTTTATGTCTCTAACCTGGTTCCGAACATCAGGAACTGTGAGCCACAGAGGGAAGACTATGGGCAACAAGAAGAGGTAGGTGGCTTGTTTTCGAGGTGTGTCAGGCCACTGTAAAGATAGAGGGTCATCTTCTTTTTCCCCCTCTTCCTCCTCTTTATCCTCCTCCTTGTCCTCCTCTTCACTAGACTCTTCGCTCTCCTCTTCGCTGTCATCTTCCTCGCTGTCATCTTCCTCACTGTCAGAATTGTCTGAGTCTTCGGATCCACCTTGTTCTGCTGGCACGTCATCCTGCAGATTTGAGAACGTGATGGAGCCCGTATATGACACAAAGAAAAACATTTGTTTGCCAAAAGATGACCTGAAACGAATAGTGATACCCCTGTACTTCGACTCTTACATAGACAGGTATTAAAGACTGACTTCTGGGTTTTTTGAAAGCCAGCAGGTCATGGGTGGGGAGTACCTTCTTTTCTTCTGGCTGCTCCTTCTTTTCCGCATCTTTGGCTGGGGCAGCCTCTGGCTCTTTGGTCTCTTCAATTGTCCCACCTTTAGCTGTGAAGGATATCACAAACAAGCATTTTAGACAGAAGATCCTGTGTAGAAATTTAGTGGGCAAGGAATCTGATGAAGACAGCATGTTAGCAAACACATGCTTCAAACAATTTTTGCATAAATATATCATTTTTACAGTAATGAAGGGAACACTGATGGCTTTTCTGACAAGAAATATTGGGAAGATCTAATGTTTTTTTGCATTTTAATCCATCTAGCAGTTTGTGCCTTAAAGCACTGATAAGCAAAATTTGAATAAGAGTATCAAACATTATTGCTATGAGCATAAACACCTAAGACTTGACCTTTTAGATATTTTCAGCTGTCTCCCACAATTACCCTGGGGAAAATCCCTGCTGACTCCTCTATTTCATGCTAACATCCTCCGATCTTTCAAATATCAGTATTTCATAATCAGATCCTTCCTGTTCCTGTTACCTTCACTTTTGTCTTGGGGTTTGGACACTGACTTCCGTCTAGCCACATTGTTCAGCGTCTCAACCTTATCCTTAAATTTTCCTTTAAAACAAGCACAAATAAACAGTTGGAATGCATTAATAAGTCATGAGATATATAAATACTTTTACAGTTATTTATAAAAACACATATTTAGTCTTGTGGGAACTAATGAAAGAGGCAGTGCAGGCCCCAAAAACCCTGCAGTTGTAAAAATGCTTCTCATAAATGAGGAGGTTGAATAATTGACTCATCTGGAAACAAGTGAATTTATCTTCATCGCTAAGAGTTCTTCCATTCGGGGAGAAAGGAGCAGATAGGCTAGAGATATTTTTTCAGATTTCAAATGTGTGACAAGATGTCTCCAAGAACAAGAAGTAAGAGAATGCAGCTGTGATTCAGATTGTGAAGGCTCATTCAAAGGTAATAATTGTTCTTCTGGAGTCATGGATCATTTCCTGCTCTAGAGATAGAGCACTCTGGTGTGACTCCCATAGAATGACTGATGATAGACTGTACAAACTTAGCTTTTTACTTAAGTTGAAAATGTTCGCTATCAGCTTTGCACATCTTGTTTTTTCACACTCTGCTCCAATATATATATCAAGCTCAGTCTGACCGGATGCGAAAAGTCTGTGAATATTATGTTCAAATCTTGTCACAGATTTCCAAACGGTTTTGTTTTCATATTTAGATCAATTATCCAAACACCTGAATATGATTTGATCTAAAATAATGCCTTACAGTTCTGGCTCTATGATTGATTGATTGTCTGAGGCCATTTTTCTAAAAAAATGACCTCAGACCCATTTTTTCTGTTGCTAACAGGTTTTTTACCCCATACTGAGCTCTATTCATCTTCCCATAAATATTTACTATTATCCTTGAAAGCAGACCCAAAGCATGATTCAGAAATCATATTTTTTCCTGCAGGCCTTCTTCCTGTGTCTCATGATCCTTTTGCATTTGGATTAAAGGATTGAATATTTCTCAGTGGGATATTTTAAAGTTAGAAAAGTGTGTAATAAGTTAACCCTTCTTTAAGCATCTTTAGGACTTAACTGCTGAGTTGTCTGGTGTGTCCTGTTCAACTGCCCACTCAGACCTTGTATTCCTATTTCTCCTTGTTTTTATACTTGCAAGTTGATGGATCATTCACTAATTAGTGAATGCATCAGCTTTTTAATCAGCGTTAATAGAATTGAGACAGGTGAGTAAAATTGCTAAGTCAAATTTTCTTATTGTTGTATTTATAAAAATTTTAAAACTATGTATCTTTTTTGTTCCACTTAAAGGTATAATGGAGGATGTTCTTTTTCCAGGTGGATCATCAAAATAAGTGGTCTTCCTAATTGTCAATCATTCTGGTGATATGTTTACGTAAGGCCGTCCTATTGACTCGTCCCAATTTTCCCTTATTGGTGGTGAGTCTTAGCCTGGGTGCCAGTCCGAACTTAGTCCCGCCCACAAGGTTTGAGTTCGGGGAAGTTTGGTCTGGCTCTGCTCCATAGTAGCGCGAGTATTAAAGCCCACTGTCAGGCGATCCAATCAAATTGTCAGGGCGGGCTTTATACGATGATGGACAGATGATCAAGAGTAACGTTATCAACCACGTGACCAAAGCGCGCTTGGGTGACAACAATAATTGCTGCCGCCGGAGAGTTTGGGTGAGTAGATTCTGCTATTAGGTCTGTTCTAGAAGATATCGACAGCAAATTAATTTTAAAAGAGGAACAGAGAAACGCGATCAAGTCTCATCTTCTTATTCTAGGCGTGAAACTGCACGCTTTGATTTTTGTGGACAACAACTATGCCTCGCTTAACATACGTCACGCACTCCGTTGCTCTTATTGGTTGTAGGTCTATCCAATTGAGTGCAGAGGCATTTTTTTCCCCTGGTTCATTGGAAACACGCCCCATAATCACAGCTCTATGGAGCAGTATCAGACTCATATTCTGACTAGAATTGAGTCGGACTACGTCAGGCTAGGTGAGTCTAACATAATGGAAAAATTGAAAATCTTCCTTTGAAAAGTAAGACTATATGGGCAATGCAAACACCAACTTTTAAATAGAGCGTGCATGAGGTGAAATGGGCTTGTGCAAGCTCTCAAATGCACACAGGGTTGTGCATGTGCATTTTTTTTTTTAAGTGGAGAGGGCAGGTATTTTCAAATATTTGCAAAAATCCTCCACTATACCTTCAAGTAAGATATTGTTTGCTTCTCTTACTTAAAATCCTAACAAAAATACAGAAATGGTTGAAATATAATACGGTATATTAAAAAAATCAAGCTTGTCCCACTTATCACTGAGAAACTGTTCCAATATTTTATTCATAGAGAAAGACATAATGTCAACCAATACATTATTTTACTTTATAGCATGGATCATCAATTGGCTTCTATATACAGAAGGAGGTATTTATCTGCTTAGTATCAATCTGTAATTAGAGATGACTGCATACGGGACAGCTTGTTAATCCATTTCATGATGGGCAGAACACACCACACAGGAAGTCAGGATAAACATTGCTGTTATGCAGCTATCCATCATAAGATGCATCAGTGGCATAAATATGGTACTTACCATCTCCCAGAGGGTCTAATGTGTGAATCATGAGCTGGAAGATGGTGTTTCGCATGGTGCTGTTGTGTAAAGAAGCAGAACTTCCCCCTCGCTGAAGGGATGGCTTCAGCTAGAGAAAAAGATGGCTGAGTTCATGACAGCTACTCACTATACAGACACGGCTCATCACTGTTAGTCATTTTCAAATGGAAGTCAGGGAGCTTTTAAACAACAACAGTTCAATGATAGATCAGCAGATGCAATGAGGCTTGATAGAGGGGGGACACAAACATATAAACTCAAAATGCAAAAGAACAGTCACAACACAATCAGTACTGTGACATCTAGGAGTTAGATGTCCATCTCATGTTGGCGCTGGTCGAATGGCGTATTGTTTCTTCTTTTTTTTTTTTTTTACCTTTAACCGATTCTTGTCCTCTGGAGCAGGAGGGGCATTATCTTCACCTTCCCCATTTGTCTGCGTGCAACAATGTTTTTTTTCAGTGATAATCATTCAAAGTATTTCATTGTTTCATTTTGGTAGAATTCATATATCAGTATAAGTTACAGTATAATTCCATGCATTATTGTTTCACATATTGCACACACTTCTGGTCTTGCTGGTGACAATCTACTGGATTATCAAACATATATCATGCATGCCCTGTTAGGCTCATAAATTAACCTGTTCTTGTTTTATCAATAAGTAAATTCCAGTAAATTCTACATTACAATTTAATGTTGACACTTCCTAGCAATAATAGCATATGCCATACAACCAAAGTTTTCAATAATAAGTAAGTATAATTTAAAAAATGGAATAAAAATCAGATAATTTAAACATTCCAAGGCTTAGAAGAATGGTTGGTCCTATGGCTGGTACAGAGCTGCAGAGTCTAACAGGATTAGTTTGATGTGGCTGATTAACTTTGGTTTGCACAGACCAACTGTTTGCAGCACTAGTTTCATTTTTTAAATGTTTGCATCATTAATACATGAAGGAAATCTCACAGGAAACAAGAAATGCTGCTACAATATGTAATATATATATATATATATATATATATATATATATATATATATATATATATATATATATATATATATATATATATATATATATATATATATAGAATGCAACATAAAAAACTCAGCATGGTTGTTAGATGATGGATTGGGTTCCAAAAAAGTTTAAAAACATTGATATGGATTGGGGTTTTCCTAGCCCCATTTATGCATCTCATCACTTTTTAGCATAAGGTACACAGACATAATGAGTCTGGTAATGAGAGCCATAAGTGCATTATTATAAAAAATGCATTTGTATTTTTTTTCCCAGAGATTTATTTATGTGATTACTTAGAATGTCCTAAATACATATAAAAATGTAAATATATCAATAGCTATAGATATATCCCAAGAAAAGCTAAATCATATGAATCCATGTAAAAATAATAATGTAAAACTTAAATGCATTAGATTTTAAACGGATATCTAATCGTTTGTGTATTTACTTGATTATTTTACATTTCCCATTTCATTGTTCTATCAAGAAATAATTCAAACATACACTATTGGGCGATCACACAGGCCCTAACATCTGATTGGTTAACCTGAAAACTAATTTAACCAATCACCCTGCCTACACCCTGCCTACACCAGTGTTAATGTGGCTGACTGACTATGCTTGGCTAGAAACACAAGTGATTAATGAGGCACTGTAAAACTGCCTAAAAAAACAATTAGATAAATATTAGAAAGAGTAAAGGATTAAAACATGTAATAAACTTAAATCCTGAATGCAAATTTCCATGTTTAATGATTGAATTATGCATTTCTTTGTTATTGAAATTAACTAAATGTAAACACATCTTTATTATTCAATTTAAAGTTCTTATCAAATCATTATTTTTTTTTAATTTTATGGAAAGAAAAAATCTGTATGTTTTGTACAGTAGCAATTTTAACCCTTTTCTTCACTAAGAACATTGTTTTACTTGTTCAGTTCAAAATGTGAATACGATTAACAATGAATAAAATTAGAGCAAATTAATCAGAGTCACTGAGTTATCCAGAATATCAGAAATAAAAATGTTTAATCAAATGGCTGCTTACCTTCTCAGGTTCCTCCACAGCAATAACCTTCACAATGCTCTTGTGTTTGTGGAGTTGGGTCTTGAATTCTCGCTCTAATTGTACGTTGAATTTCATGAAGACAACATAGAGACTGTAACATGCCACCAGCATCATGCTCTCCCACCACATTATCACATTGTCCAAGAAGAAGATGATCAGTAAGATGAGGTCGAGTATGTAAAATGAGACGTCTCTGAAAAGGGGCCACCAGGTTAGGTGGAGAATCTCTCGAGAAAACAAAGCGCACATCCCAATTACGAACAAAATGTTAAAAACTGCTGAGCCGACAATTGTGCCGATTCCAATGTTGCTATGGGCGATGAAGACTCCTATCAAGGAGGTGAATAGTTCAGGTGCAGAGCCTCCGGCAGCCATGAAGGTGGCTCCTGCTACATCATCAGAGATGGCGAGCTTGTCTGTGATTACCCCCAGTGCAGGCACAAAGAACTCATCACAGACAATCGCGAGGGAGACAAACATGTACATCATCCCTAAAATGTGAAGGATCACCCATCCTCGTCTGCGCTCTTCGATAGAGAAGATATCTTCAGGGTATTCCCCTTTAACATGAGGAGCTTCACCAGGTGGAGCTGGGGAGGCGGTTGTAGTTGGTGGAGCTGGAACAGGTGTTGGTGTCACCAAAGGAGGTTCAGGGGCCACATAGATGCAATGCACAATAGTCCGGTTTGTGGTTGGTAATAGTGGGGATTCTGAGGAAGTGGGTGGCTTAGTTGCATCAGTATCTGTATTTTTAATGATACCCTTGTCAGTATGAGGAATCACATGGGTTGATGTTGTTTGATCTGTACGCTCTAATTCAGGTTCAACAGTAAAAGGTTCCTCCAACCCTCCAGTTTCTGCCGGGGCCTCCTCTACACCCTCTGTCGAACCCTCTCCAAAATCATCTCCGATCTGAGCCACTGACATGGGTTGTTGCAGTCTGGCACTGATGGTGAGCTGATAGAGGGTGCAAAGGAAAACCCCGGAGAGGAGAAACAGAACCCGGCTCAGCTGGAGCCGCTTCCTTCTTGTACAATGCATCGTCCTCCAAAGCAGCGTCTCTGATGGCTAGGTTGAATTAAGCAGCATAAATAAGCTTTGGTAGAGTCCAGCTCTGTCCCCAGCAGACCATGGGGTAGAAGAATACAGAACTTTGATAGAGGGGTTCATGTCACATCATCGTGCTTTTGGACAACCCAACCTGTTGTAAACTGAAGAATAAACCAAAGTTAGAAGTGAGCAACATCAGAGAAGCACTCCCTAAAATATTGCCAGTCATTTATGTCTAAAAATGGGATTCTTAAAGAGAGAACAATATTTCTATAGTAAAGAACGAATAAGGTTTTAATAGCTGCAGAGTAAATCAGTGTTAGCAGATACAATGATGCAATAAGAAGCTAGGGTAATTTTTTTGTCAAGACATCCATGGAGAAAAAAAAAGGAAAAGGAAATAATTACACAGACTTACCTTAATTGATGTATCAAGTCAATGGCACCAAAACCCAATTAAGCTTTTCCAAACTAAATGTACACACACAGTCAACAGCTATTGCCCACTGACCAAAGGCTTATGTAGGACGCGGAGCGAGTCTTCATAATGGATCAGCATAATACCCAACACCTGAAGTCTTCTAAGAGGATTAGTTGCATTGTCTCACTCTCACTTTGCAAATGTAACCTCAGCATTGATCTATATAATGTAAAGTTAAAGTTTGGCCTCAAGGTGTCATTTTACATAAACGAAGCGCTTAAAAAAGAAAGAGTTTACATCTTGAAACTTTAACCCCAAAATCTAGTAGCTTTTTTCTTTTCCAGGGTGACTTTTTGTTTTAGAAAAAATAACTTTATTTAGACAGTTGCAGTTGCAGTTGTGTTTTTGAATTGTTTTGGCTCCTTGTTGAAGTTGACTTCTTCTGTACAGATCTAATAAATTTATAGTCAAGATAGCAATCAATTGTTTTTTAGATTTGCCTCCTGCATCACAACAAAAAAGTACAACATATTGACAGAAACAAAACTAACGAGGATCACAGCTTCAGGGTCTTCGCATAGAAGTAAACAGGCATTTTGTGCTGGATTTGTATTACTAGCCTTTCCTAATCTGAAATTCAGCTTTGAATTTTCCTTTTATAAGTCATGATAGTGCAGCTACAGACCATGCCCCATGTTTACTACTAAATCTGAGGGACGTCCATATGACCATAAAATAAGTGTGGTCGCACCAAAGCCAGACTATATTACCAATGCTCACCTAAAAGCAATTAATTTCCTTATAGTTTATATGTCATAGTCCAAGCTAAAACCCTAAAATGAAACAATTACACAGACTTACCTTAGAATTAAGGTAAGTCTGTTTAATTGTAAACTAAGATAAGTCTATTCTATTATATTCTTCTATTCTAAAATAAGATTTTCCATTCCCCATAGATAACATAAAAAAGGACTTAATCTTCTTTATCTAGATACTCTGATTTTATGCAGACAAAAATAAGACTAGGGACATTTCTAAATACCTACACAGAAAGCATGGATTGGCCCATTTTAAGTCCAGCCTGGTTTCAAAGTTAACCAAAGATTATTTTTGTAACTCCACCTTGAATGATAATGAAAACAAAAATAAAATTGCATGAAACACAGAAAAGTAGAAACATATTTTAATGTTGTAGAAAAAGGCTCATTTATTTGTATGTTCATAAATTCAATGAAGCACCTTGGTATCGATATCTAGAGTAAAAAACAAAACCACACATATTCATATAAATGATATAATTGGTATCAGTTTATGTCACAGATCAAAATATGACTTGTTTAAAAACATTCATAAAAATCTATAAGTTGTGCTGCTTAGACTTAAGTAGATATCAGTGTGGTAAGCCTTATAGAGAAAAATAAGAAACATTTAAAGTAGATGTAAACAAACCCTAAATCCATAATTTCTGAGAAAGAAAATATATTTTTTTCAGGCTTTCTCTACTGATAAACATTTTATGCAATTTAATATATAGGCTACAAAGTCAAAACCGTTATGCTTATTTCATCCGATAATGAAAAGAAAACCTCAAGCAAAACAGAGAAACAAAAAGACAGATATATACAATAATACAAATCCTTTTTATATTTCTATATATAATTTTTATTGCCTTTTTAAAATCTGAGATCAATTCTCTAATTTATCCCGAAGTGTACATAACCACCTCAGATTTCAGCATGCCATTCTTTATTTAAGGAATTTAAAACCAGAAAAGTTAGTAAAAAAAAAAATCTTGAATGAACACCTCAGGTAAAAAGCTTATGACCTCAAATGCACCTGAGTTCATTGAGTCTGAATGAATGGCATGGAACAGTCTGAAGGTCTTGGAGGGGCCTGGTCAAAGCTTCGATCTTAATCCATCTTACATGCATTGGCTTGACCCTAAATGGGCCAAATCATTCTCCCTTACTTTCCAATGTGGCATAAAGCATCTCTACCAAGAACATATTCTCCACAGCCATGAAAAAGACGCAATCCCAGATCCTGCAAACATCTGATAACAGTTGCCTTCAACTAGAATATTGTCACCTAGTGGGGGATTACTGTTTTCTCAAAAGGGGTCATGAAAGGTATAGTGGAGGATGTTCTTTTTCATCATCAATATAAGTGGTCCTCCTAATTGTCAATCATTCTGGGGATATGTTTATGTAAGGCCGTCCTATGTGCTCTTCCCCATTTTCTCTTACCGGTGTTGAGTCTGACATAGTGGAAAAATTGCACATCTTCTTTTGAAAAGTAAGCTTGTATGAGTGATGCAAAAAGCCACTTTTAAACAGAGCGTGCACGAGAAGAAATTAGTTTGTGCACGCTCTCGTACGTGTTTAACAGGCGTTCCCTCTCGGGTGTGGGTACAGGGTTGTGTATATGCATTCTTTTTAAAAATTGGAGAGACTTAGACTGATTTATTTTGTCATTTTGTATACACAAGTGGGCGGGTCTCAAAAATCTTTCACTATACCTTTTAAAACTATAGTAATTTACAGCTAAGTTACTTACAGTGAAAACAGGAATGCATATGTTTATGTAGTGTACTCAGCATGTATACAAAGTTGTTGAGAAGTGACTTGAGTCTCAAACTGCTGTTCCAAAAAAAAAAAAAAAATCTTTCTATTTCCTTCTTTTTATATCCTGGTAGATGATAGGTCAGTTATATATAGAAACGTAACACATGCATAAATAAAAATATTTCAAAGTATTTTTTTACACAGGGCACTTAATGATCCCAAACACCATCATGATGCTAATGACCACAAAAAGAACGTAGAGAAAGACTAAGATGAGACCAAGCAGTTTCCTCATCTTCCACTTACATAACATAATGGAGATGACAGTGAAGAGGAGCACGAGGAAGAGGAGGATACTGGCACAGACGAGGCCTCTGGTCTCAACAGCCACAGGGGATAAACCGTGGGTGAACGTGTAGAGGAGCAACTCTACTGCTAGACTTTTGGTTGAAATGACAAAGAAAAATTAGCATGGGGCTAATAAATCTGCCCGCTGTGTTAGTTTTTCTATCGTCATTTCTAAGCCATGCCAATTTAGTTTATTAACTTACCTTATATTGATGTCGAAGATGTTGCTACCCACATTACTGGACACAACCATGTCTCCAAGGCCTTTACGTGCCACTATTACACTAGTTATGAGATCAGGGCTGGACATTGCTGCTACCAGATATGTCATAGGACCCATGGCACCAAAAGCCTCATCCATCTGTAAAACATTAAAATAGTGTTTAGTGAGATTAAGTCAAAATTTCAGGATGGGAATATATGTTACATTAAATATTTCAGTGTGAAATCTAAAACTTGTTGGAGCATTAAGGATCTGTTACGGAAGCACTGACCTGGTGAGCCCACCACTTGACAAGGTAGCAGAAGACACTGATCCACACAATAGAAACTAGGTATGTCAGCACAAAGAATTTTCTGTTTTTCTATGAAACAAACACAAAAAAAAGTAAGTATAAAAGCAAAATTAATCTAAAACAATCTAAAATATCCATCTAGCCATACCTGGTTCCTGACATCGGGAACAGTGAGCCGCAGAGGGAGGATGATTGGCAAAAGAAAGATGTAGACAGCTTGTTTCTGCCACGTGTCAGGCCAGCGCAAAGACAATGGCTTAGCGCCTTCTAGCAATTTGTTCTCAACAAACTCCTTGCAGCCACCCGTGTTTACATTACCGCCTTCATTACAGTCTCCAAGGCCTTGTGCATCATCTTCACCTGTGGGAATATACACCTGGGTGGGATTCTGTTAAAAAATATAAAAGAAAACAAACGAAACTGTTTTAAACAATAGTGTAACACAAAATAAAAAAATAACATCTACCGGGTACTGTACTTTTGCAGCAAAACTTGTGTTGAGCTTATGGTGTAATTAGAAATGTCTTAATCGAGATATATCTATGCTAGATGACAATTTTGTAATTCTAAAAATAGACTTTTGCTAATACTAATCCCTACTGAGATACTTCCTCAAAGTAACGGTTGCTTACTGTATATGTGGTAAAATACTTAACATTAATTATCGCATATACCTATTATTATCATGATGAGCAACATGTACTTGTTTCAGAAGAAGTTTAGTTTTGGCATGCCACTCCAACAGGGTTTGAAGGTTAGAAAAAAACTAATGCATTAGATTAAAAATATAAAGCTGCAATCTTTTTTTTTCTAAGAATTGATAGTGGCAACAAGCACTTACATGTTTACTCTCTGTTTTGATTTGACTTGTTGATACTTTGCAAAATGGTTCCTGTTAATCATGCATGGACAAAACTCAAGACAAAAAAACATATCTTCCTCAATTAATGTAGAGCTTAACTAAAAAAAAAATAAAAAACATTTATTGGGTCTCAAGGGCCGCTGCGGTTATCCTAATACAACAGGTGACATGACACAGAAAACCAAAGAGAAGCAGAAGCAATGCAGTCTTTCAATGTGAATGTGATTCAAAAGGATCTGTTTAGGGCAAAACAAAATTATGTTTATGTCCCTTAATATGATTTTTCAAATTGCACATTAGGCAGCGATTTTTAAAACCTAGCTCTGCAGAAAGGCTTTTGCAAGGCCCACTGAAAATGTGACTGACCCAGCAGAACACTACCAACAGGTATACAGGTCATGTTTTGTCCTATAACACAGATCATTAACACTGCCTTCACCTTTTTTAGTGGAGTGCTTTTGGTGGTAGAGAAACATTTCGGATCCACAGATTATCCTGACCTTCTACTTGGTCAAGACAGACTTTGTAATTCATCAGCTAGAGGAAGAAGAGGAGGCATCACATGCATTGACTAAATGCTACAGAGAACTTGGTCAAATTACTTCATAATGGCCCTTTTTAAAATGACACAAGTTTAAATGGCGATATTTTTGTTTTAATGAATGTCACAGAGAGAGAACATTTTTAACAATGCAGAATTCATCATACAGAATCATTTCTCTGCTCTCCGCCATGTTGAAAGGTCAAAAGTTGACCTCATCTCAGCAACTAAATATATTTTTTCTAGGTTTCCAGTGGAAATTACAACATGAGTGATGGTTCATGTGCATCTTTGCTATTGTTGTTGCTGTTTACCATAAATAAGATACCACATGAAGGCAGCATTAGAATATCTTTATCTGAAAATATTCCGGTTTATTTTCACCAATTAAGGTAAAATAAAGTCCTTTCAAATAACTAGAAAAAAAAGATGACTTTTCCCTAATATACTTCACGTCTGCTCAGTGTAAAATAGTATTGATAGTAATGGTATAGAAATGTCAGATTAACACAGTGCTGCATGCAAGATTTATATTATATCAGATAAAAGTGCTAATTGTTTAAATCTATAAACAACTGTACTTGTCCTATCTTATCACATTCTATCTTAACATTCCCATTTTAAGAATATTTTATATTATCTAATCAAAATGTATGATAGAGCTCACCTTTTCACATCTGTTCACAAATGAAACTTTCTTCACCCTTTTGTTTTTCTGGAGTTTGGTCTTCATTATTTGCTTAGCTTGTGAATTATATTTCAGAAATATGATGTAGAGAATAGAAAAAGTCACCAGGATCACATTTTCCCACCACATGGCAGTACCGTCCAAGAAAAAAATTATCGCGAAGATGAAACCCAACATGTAGAATAATAGGTCTCTGAAAAGCGGCCAGCGAGAAAGAGGGAGAACCCTCCCACAAAACAAAGCACATATTCCAATCACAAACAACATTCTGAAAGCTGCCGAACCAATAACTGGGTTAATGTCCACAGGAAAGGTGCAGTCATCAAATGGGATTTTGATTAGCTTGACAAACAGCCATGGAATGGATCTTCCTGCAGCCATGAAGGTGACTCCCAGAACATCATCTGAGATATCCAACCTCTCCATGATGATCCCCAGCGAAGGAACGAAGAAATGATTGCACACAATTAAAAGTGCGACAAAAACGTAGATTATCCCAAAACCGTGTAGGACCACCCATCCTTGCCTGCGATCCTCAATAGAAAAAAGATCTTTAGGGAACATTGTGTTTGAGTGTTGAGCTTTACAGTGGGAAACATTGGAGGTTGGGTCATGAATTGATGTTTCCAGTGAAGGATGAAGAGTCATATTGGTTGGGTCCAAAAATGGTGATTTAGTTTCAGGCACTTTATCAAACGGAGTTGAATATGTAGGATGTTTAACCGGATCTTCCAGCACTGAGTGATCTGTGATCTTTCCAGTATCTTCTCCAAAGCCAGACAAAAGATTAGGGGGTTCAGTACCAACACTCTGATTGTCAACAGTTCCAAGAAGGATACCAGAGAAAAAAATCCTAACCATAGTCATCTCCATATTGTACATAAAACTGCTAATTCACTTGTTTGGCTCTAATGAGAAACACTAAAGGAAGGGCTGATCTTCTCAAACAGACCTTGGATTTACAGGATCCAAAATTAGAGCTGTCTGAATTGGATTTGAGTCCTTCAAGAAAACCTGTTGGTAAAGGAAAAAACCTCAGTTAAATTAAACAAGCAGTTCATCAGGGATACAAGATATAATAGAGTTTTTCTGCAAGCATTCGCTACAAACAGTTTGAACCACTTCAGTTTTTCCATCTTATCGCTTTTTTTTTTGACATTTCAATCATAAACTTTGCCATATTTTAATCAGATTTTATATAATTGAATCTTTTCAAAATAATGAAGTCTATCAGCATTGTTCAGATCCTTTTGTGCACTTTAGTATCTCAGATAATAAAGTAAAAACTTGTGTTATTTTTCATTCAAATCCTATATCAAACAGGCTTCTAGAATATCCTTCTTTCATCTGTGAAATATTGCAAAAACTTGGAATATCTTTTCCAGGGATGATGGTGAGAAATAAGACCACCGATGGGGGTCAGAGGGACTGGTGGTTCCAGTGTATAGCAGCCTCGCTTCTGTTAGTGAGCCCCTGGGCAGCTGTGGCTACAATGTAGCATCAGTGTGTGAATGTGTCAGGATTCAGTTGTGGTTTGAGGACCCAAATGCAGAGGCAGGGAGGAAGAGGTGAGTTTCTTGTTTGTTTGATGAAAGGTTGAACATAGAGGCAGGAAATAAAAGAAAAATAAATCTAACATGAAATCAAAGTCAAACAAACCAGAAACCATGGAGACATCTGGGGGAAACAATCACAAGGAGGAGGACTCAGCGAGACGGAGTTGGAGGAAGTTACTGTAGACAAGGAACCAGCACTGAGGAACTGAACAGAGAGTGTATTTTTTGGAGACTGAAACAAAGAGAAGACTAACGAGCAGATTGGGAACAGGTATGAACAGAGCAGAACAGGAAAGGAGCTAGAGAAAAAGGAGAACACAAGAGGGCAGCAGAGGGCAACAAATAAAAACCTGAAAACTGAAATTAACCAGAAAACACAACAAAATAAGAATTAAACCACTAAAACTAGAAAACATGGAACAAAGTAAAACAAAATACTCAAAAAAAAAAAAAAAAAAAAAACATAACAGGACCAAGACTGTGACAGAATGTGTGAATGACTGAATGTAGTTTAAAGCGCATTGGTCAAGTCCTCTGACCTGAAAAAGCTTTATATAATTACAGGCCATTTTAGTCCATGTGTTACTCCAAGGCTGGACTATTGTAATTCTTTACTATCAGGAAGTGTTCAACTTGTAGTTAAAAGCCTTAAGCTGATCCAATGAAAATTGAAAATAGAGATCATATCTCTCCTATCCTGGCTTCTTTTCATGGCTTTCTATTAAATCCAGAATAGAATTTAAAGATTTCAGCCGGGATAGACATTTCTCCCTAGCTCTACCCTTCTTATACCTCATACAAAATAGTTAGGCTCTGTTCTGTATTTGTGCTGTTATTTTGGCTGCTGGATCTCATTGGGACCATTTTTCCTCCTTCTGCTTCATTCTATCTATATTCTCCCATTTATCAAGTTTCACTCAAACATTTGTTCTCTCTGCTTTACAGCCATCAGTGTGAGTACAATCCTATTCGACAAACCATGTCTTTAGTGTCCCATTTCCAAACAGTTACACACAATATGTAATTAAACTATTAATATAGCCTACACGTTAATGGAAAATATAATAGGCTAAAACTAAGAGCATTACAGTTCAATGCTACGGAAATAATTAAAAAGAACTTCACACTTACTTTATTCCTGCGTTTAGTTTTCAATCACATTTTAAGATATCCAAAATAGAGTTTTTTTTTACTTTATATTTGCAGTCTGCAGTACATTTTTTCGAGGAAAGAAAACTTGATCCGTTTCAAACGGGTTATTGCGCAACTTCACAAAAAAAAAAAAAAATAAAAAAAATCCAGGACCGTTCAGTCTGACCCCCAGATTCCACATCCCCAAAGCATAAATCCTATGTATTTCCAAAAACTAAGACAGTTTAATTAAATTACTATTGGTACTTAGACACAGCAGGGAGCAGATTTCTCATCTCGATAAAAATATTATAATATTACAGGGGCTAAAAAGTTTCATCAAATCCAGTCACAACAACTTCCAAGAGCGCCTCTCACAACTTCAAAATAAACTTCTTATCGATTCTGAGTTTGGGAGTGGAGAACAAACCAGTTTTGTATGATTATCCCAATTACAAAGACCCACAAAGAAAAAAATAATGTTTTGGCAGAAACGCGTGTTATTGATGTTGATTTCATATTTCATAATTAATAATTAATTAATAATTTAGTATTATATTAAGCGTTCATTACCGCATGTTTTTCTCCTATGAATTAAATAATAATAATATATAGCATTCTCTCCTCGAGCTTCCAGGAAGTCGAAGCGGAGAAAGACGGGCGGGACCGCGGCTTTAGGCTATGGCAACCCAAGAATGCCACTATTCGCATCTACTTATGACTTAGACAGATTTATTTGTCATTTTGTTTACACAAGTGTAAAACAAAAATAAATATTACGTTTAGAACGATTCTCTGGACAATTTCATTTGTTTTTTAAAGTGCAGCCTTGAAAAATAGTAAAAAATAAAAGAAAAGACACATGTTAAGATTTAAATTCACCCTCTAAAAGCGCCCGTTTTCCCGAAATTTTGCTGCTTTTTACGGTATTTTAAATCTGAATAAGATTTAAATTTATTCCGATATTTTAAATCGGAATAAATTTAAATCTTAACGTGATAATTAGATGCCAATAGGGTAATTCTTGGCTTTGCTTTGCGCACGCGGTCTGGAATGGCGCAGCGTGGCGCAGCTGTTGTGGAGGATGTGGGTTTTCGCTGTAAGGGCCGAATGGGCAGAAACTATGATCAAAACCACAAACAACATAAACCGATGTTAATAATGATAATAATTATACGTGCAAATATTATTAGATAATTTCTAAAACACCTAACTACCCAGATAAATAAAGTGGAATTTCAGAGGAAAAATACAGTCTGGGTATGAACTGTATTTGATTTTGCCTCAAATTTGACGAAAAGCGTTTAGAATAATAATGGGGGAAAAAATTATTATAGTTATGATATGACACCATAGTCTTTGTAGTTTTTTGTTTGTTTGTAATAGATCCATGTTATGAATAATGCACATTTTGTTAGACTACATAGGAGCGGAACTATATATCGGTAAAAGATGTTCTCTACGGACAGCATTATTGATGCACTCCTAAAACAACATAAGCGAGATTACAGAAACGGTCTAACTTGTTTAGCCATTTTTGTGTCTTATATTTCATCCTTTGTGGGGGTTTTTAACTTATGGATATTTTTCCTTTTATATTTGATAAATAAATATCCCGAACGTGTCTCTGCTTTAGCCGTTAGGTGGCAAAATGCTAGCAAACTAGCCCCAGTTGCTAGTGCTAACCTGCCTAACGCCGCTAATTTGAGTTTTAATTTTAACTTAAGCTTGGAGAATTTCAGGTAGTTTTACAGTAAACTGTGTTTGGGAAATATTGTAAAACAGTTGTGGATCTCATTCAGAGGTGAGCAGCAATGCCTACGGTGATTTTAATGGACGTGTCCCTGTCCATGACACGACCAGTGTCCGTGGATGGCAGTGAGGAGTTCCAGAGGAAGAACCTGGCAGTTCACGGACTTAACATGCTGTTTGAACACATGGCTTCTAACTATCGCCTGGAGTTCACAGCGCTGATGGCTTTCTCTTCCCTTTGGGAGCTGCTGGTGCCTTTCACCAGGGATTACAATGCATTACAGGTAAGAGCTGCGTCTGCATAGAAAGTAATGTCTGCCTTCATATTGGTCTGTTTAATGATTTGGTGTTGTTGTTCACAGGAGGCACTCAGTAACTTGGAAGACTATGATAAAACATGTCTTGAGTTGGCTCTTCAAGGAGTCAGTAGCGTTGTTCAGCAGGAATGGGGCAGTGCATGTCCCTGTCAGGTATGCAAGCAGCCATGTTTATGTGGTTGATTTTTATTTTATTTTTGTCACACACAGAACAAAGCACATATTGACAAACATTTATCACAGTAATTGATATAGTGTGACAACACAGTGCATGGGAGGCATTCAGGTCTTGCAATACAGGAGTCAGATTTTCCTCTTATGTAGGAGAGTAGAGGATCCCAGATCTTGTGATAGTTTTTTATTTTGTCCATGTTGTGATACCTATGTTCCCCATTTCCCTCAGCCACATTTCATAGTTTGGGGCAAAGTCCCTTTTCCACATCTGCAGGATCATTTTCTTTGCCACAACCATTCCTAAAGAGACAACTTGAGCCTCAAATGTATTGGCCAAAAGATGCGTGGTTGATTTTATCCCTTTTTTTGGTCTTATGAAGTTCTCTGTTATTTGGGTATATTCATACAAAACAACGTTGTGTTCAGTAGATACACTATATTGCCAAAAGTATTTGCTCACCCATCCAAATTATTGGAATCAGGTGTTCCAATCACTTCCATGGCCACAGGTGTATAAATTCAAGCACCTAGGCATGCAGACTGTTTTTACAAACATTTGTGAAAGAATGGGTCGCTCTCAGGAGCTCAGTGAATTCCAGCGTGGAACTGTGATAGGATGCCACCTGTGCAACAAATCCAGTCGTGAAATTTCCTCGCTCCTAAATATTCCACAGTCAACTGTCAGCTGTATTATAAGAAAATGGAAGTGTTTGGGAACGACAGCAACTCAGCCACGAAGTGGTAGGCCACGTAAACTGACGGAGCGGGGTCAGCGGATGCTGACGCGCATAGTGCGAAGAGGTCGCCAACTTTCTGCAGAGTCAATCACTACAGACCTCCAAACTTCATGTAGCTCAAGAACAGTGCGCAGAGAGCTTCATGGAATGGGTTTCCATGGGCGAGCAGCTGCATCCAAGCCATACATCACCAAGTGCAATGCAAAGCGTCGGATGCGGTGGTGTAAAGCACGCCGCCACTGGACTCTAGAGCAGTGGAGACGCGTTCTCTGGAGTGACGAATCGCGCTTCTCCATCTGGCAATCTGATGGACGGGTCTGGGTTTGGCGGTTGCCAGGAGAACGGTACTTGTCTGACTGCATTGTGCCAAGTGTAAAGTTTGGTGGAGGGGGGATTATGGTGTGGGGTTGTTTTTCAGGAGCTGGGCTTGGCCCCTTAGTTCCAGTGAAAGGAACTCTGAATGCTTCAGCATCCCAAGACATTTTGGACAATTCCATGCTCCCAACTTTGTGGGAACAGTTTGGAGCTGGCCCCTTCCTCTTCCAACATGACTGTGCACCAGTGCACAAAGCAAGGTCCATAAAGACATGGATGACAGAGTCTGGTGTGGATGAACTTGACTGGCCTGCACAGAGTCCTGACCTCAACCCGATAGAACACCTTTGGGATGAATTAGAGCGGAGACTGAGAGCCAGGCCTTCTCGTCCAACATCAGTGTGCGACCTCACAAATGCGCTTCTGGAAGAATGGTCAAAAATTCCCATAAACACACTCCTAAACCTTGTGGACAGCCTTCCCAGAAGAGTTGAAGCTGTTCTAGCTGCAAAGGGTGGACCGACGTCATATTGAACCCTATGGATTAGGAACGGGATGTCACTTAAGCTCATATGTGAGTCAAGGCAGGTGAGCAAATACTTTTGGCAATATAGTGTATGTGTGACCGAAAGCATTTGCTCGATTTACTGGAGGTCTCTTCCTGTTAAAAGGGAGTTTTTCCTCTCCACTGTCGCTACAAGCATGCTTAGTGTGAGGGATTGCATTCGAGTCAATGAGTCGATGCAATTGACTGGTTTTCCTTAGATATAAAACTTTATATTAATTTGACTGGATGATCTGGTGAACTGTAAAGTGCCTTGATATGGTGTGTGTTGTTAATTGGCACTATATAAATAAACTGAATTGAATTCTTTAAAGAATATTGTCAGTTAGGTAAAAAAACATATGAATGCAATAGAAAAAAAAAACGTATTAATCCTCTTCAGTAGATTTCTAATAATGACATTTTATTTCCAGTTGCATCAGAAAAGTACTCCACATTTATTCAAAATCCACTTAAAAAACAAAGCAACCAATTATAAACCCAAACAAACCCAGAGTTAGCATTAGAAGGTCCTTTTAACTGCGCTGTATGTCCCTCACTATTGGACTGGAGATAGATTTGATGAAACAAAGGGTTCTCTAGGATTTTAGTTTTGCAGCTACATCTGCAACATCTGGACATTGTTCAAGATGGCCAGATGTTTCTGTGTTCTTTTCTCTGGCACATTCAGGCCTCCTGATTAGATTTTATATGCCTCAAAGCACATTGATTGGGTGGATATTGAATAAACACACAAAAATTAATATTGCTATAATGCACTGGTTAGACATCTGCAAAGGTGTTTTAATAAAGTAAACACAATTTGATCTTTGTTAGCTTCTCCAATTATTTAAATCGGCCCATTATACAGATAGACACAGAACTGACTTTACATATTTTATGTCAATTTAAGAAATGCTACAGTTCGTTCAATACCTTGCAGATGCAGAAAGGATATATTTTAACAGCTCTTTAGATATTATTGCTATAAAAAACTTTATCATTCTGTGACATTTTGGTTTTTGGTCCACCAATTTTTGTAAGCATTTAATTATGAACTGCTTTTCAAGGCAAAAAGAAATGGAAGACAGTCTGAGAAAAGAAAAAAAGGAAATTAAGTTTCCAGGACAGATCTAATCTCCACTGAAAACTGCCACAATATTTACGTCTAATCTCTAATTTATTTAGACACTGATTAAAATCTAATTTGACCCTTTACATTACTGTGAAAAAAAGTTTTTTTCTTACTCTTGTGTAGAGTCTGTGATGGGGTTTGGGTCATGCTTATTATCCATCTTCAGTAACAGTCTGTGTTCTCTCACTAACGCTTTAGTGGTGATTAAATGTAACTCATTACTATTGATCTCTGCTATGATCTAATTTCACTTTCCAGTTGCGTAGTCTGGCTTTAGCCCTACTTTAGCTCTTAGAGTGAAATGTGATAGCATTACATTTGACTTTATACTGCTTTGTTATATGTGAATAAGACGCATCACAATAATCTTTCATCCTGAGAAAACAATTATTTATATGGGTTTTTTCCCAAAGCCTCCTAAACTAATAGAACAGCTCGGATCTTTTGTTTTGTCATTTTTGAAGACATATTTCTTTATTTGTTATCATCATGTTTGAAAAAACAATGTCAATACAATTATTGTCTACAGTTCAGACGTGCGGCTGCACCACTTTCTGTAACTGGTGAAATGTATGTATCTATTTGAAGACCTTTTTTTATTAGTTTTTGGTTCTTATGCATGGAGGAAGTGGTCATTTATGTTTGCAGTAAATTATCACCAGTGATTCCTAAATTCGCTGTTATTACATCCTCCCCATTTTAACACCTCAAATATCAGACATCCAAAATTGTCTAGAGAGCTGTTCTAAACAAAATTTCTTTTTGTTTACACTTAAAAAAAAAATCTTAAGTTTACATGAAACTGTATTTTAAATGGTTGAAACTTACATTACTTCTAGCAACTTACACGTTATATCGTCACCCTATATTTAGTATAATGATTTTTATTGCCACTCCTCTGTTTTTTATTTTTTTATTTCCTGCCTTTTCATAATGGCTCCTCCTTAACTGCTCATGTTTATGCGTTTCCCCCTTTTGTCCTGTAGGTGGTACTGGTTACAGACGGATCTCTTGGCATTGGGAAGGGTTCCCTTCGTCACTCTCTTCAAACTCTGAAACATCGGGTTGAGGACAAAAAGTTTCCCCTCCCTTTTCCTTTTCCCACCAAAATGTTCATCATGTGTATTGCCAATGCAGAGGAGGTACTGAAGGGCTTATTTCTGACTGTACATTGGTTTTAAAAGATTGGCCATTCTATATCTATGGCAATAAAAATGAGCTGTAGGGAGCATGTCATAACTTAAGTGTCAAATTTCAGTATTCTTTTTGAAAGATCCAGAAATTAGAGCTTTTCTTGTTTTATTTAGCTGCAAATGACTGATGCCCTGGAAAACCTAGAGGAGCTCCTTCGTATCAGCGGAGGGGATGGACAGATCTTCACTGTGGATGGACCGCTTTGCATGAAGAGTGTACAAGCAATGTTTGGGTACGGCTGAGTTAACGATGCTGTAGAGATGCTTGTTTGTTTATTCATATGCTGAGTTTTTCTGTCATTTCCATTCCTCCAGCATGCTAATTGACCGGGCCTACTCACCTTTCCATGCAGTTCTGCACTGTGGGAATCTGTCTTCAAACGTTCAGGTGTTCCCTCGACCTGAACCTGTGGTGGTGGACGACGAGGTGGAGCCTATTCCCAGAGCTGTCAGCACAGGTCATTATCAAGATTTTTAAACTCACTTAAACTTTTTATCATCGATCTTCACTCAGGTTATGTTTGTTTTCAGATTTGGAAATAGTGGGCTTCATTGAAATTGCTGATATCTCCAGCCCTCCTGTAATATCCAGACACTTGGTCCTTCCTATTCCTGTAAACAAAGGTTTGTTTTGTTGCTCCAGCTGATTAATCTTTCTGCATAAGTGATTGGCAGCTTTTGCTCTTAAAAGGTTTCACTGAACAATAGTTATAGAAAACAAAATAAGAATGGCTATTAGGCCACTTCAGGGAAATAAGATCCTCTTGGATTGTTTTTTTGTTTTGTTTTTTTTTGTAGGAAATTATTATAAAAGAGGATAATTTGGAGAGAAGGATTTAAGCAGCATTAATTAAATTCTTGATTCCTTTTTGTTCTCACAGGAAGTTGCTCTAACATATTTTAATATAATTTTTAGAAGATGATGTTGGCGCAGGAGCTACTGATGAGCTTGAAGAGGAACCTTCGGCTAGCCAAATGGCTGGAAAAAGCCCAAATTTCTGTGTTCTTTTACATGGAAGTCTGAAGGTGGAGGGGATGGTGGCTCTGGTCCAGCTGGGGTAAGCATCAACAGAGTCAGAGTATACAGCACCTTCTAAATTTCTCTGCAGAAGAATATTTTTCATATGGGGGGGAACAGCTGCCTAATTTCACCTAACTCTTTCCTGCTTTGATCTCAGGCCGGAGTGGTTTGGCATGTTGTACTCTCAAGCAGACAGCAAAAAGAAGTCCAACCTGATGATGTCTTTGTTTGAGCCCGGTCCAAATCCTCTACCTTGGCTGGGCAAGATCACACATTTGGGACCAGTTTCAGGTAACATTTTACAGCATAAATATCAGATTGCTGGATATTTATTTTTTTATTATGCAACTTTTGAATAAACCTACAAACATGAAACACCAATATGGGTGAGAGACTGTTATCTTAAAGCTCAAGGGTCTCTGTATGTGTACATGATCAGTTAATGATTACTCTTTGTTCTGCTTTGAGCTTAATGTGGATCGACCGACTTCTCTCTGATGCGTCATCTTTCTGATGTTGCAGAGGCTGCTGAAAATCCCTACGGCGAGGATGACAGTAAAAGTCCTTTCCCCGTGCAGCCACAGGTCAAACGAAGCTACGCTCAGAACGTCACAGTGTGGATTAAAGCCAGCGGACTACAGGTGCAGTGAAAGGAAAATTAGAAATATGTAAAAATGTTGAAAACTTCAGAGGAATACATTATTATGGGGAGTGTTGGCCTAGTGGATTAGAGCAGTGCACTTGTGTTCTGAGAGGGCTGCAAGTACCCGGTCCTCACAAACTCCACTCTCGGTTCCTGAGCAAAACCCTTAGCCCCATACTGCTCCCCGGGCGCTGCACAATGGCAGCCCACTGCTCCCCAAGGGGATGGGTTAAATGCAGAGGTAAATTGCTCTAAAGGAAGATAAAGTTAAATTCATTATTAAATTATCTTGCTTTAAAAGTCCAAACAGGCAAAGCAGGTCATTAATACTGTAATGACCTGAATATCTTGTTGATAAAATAACATTTCCTACCTCTACTAACCATCCTGTACGACATTTGTGTGGGCAGTAAGGTGTAAACTTCAAACCTCAACTATTTCCTGTCAAGAATTAAAAATGTTATTCTATGTATGTTCAAATATCTCCTGACAAGTTTTTATTTTTTTTTTTTTTTTTTTTGTCGTAACACAGACTGATGTTCAGAAGATCTTGAGGAATGCAAGGAAACTACCGGACAAAACTCAGACATTCTATAAGGTAGGTTTAGCAGCAATTGTTTTAAATAAAGATTTTTTTTTTCTAAACAAAAGTAAAACTTCTGTGTTGTTAATCTACCAGGAGCTGAATCGCCTGCGGAAAGCAGCCTTGGCGTTTGGTTTTTGGGAGCTCCTGAAAGGCGTGGCTGAGCTACTGGAGAGGGAGTGTACAATGCTGCCCGACTCGGCCCATCCTGATGCTGCTTTCCAGCTCTCTCATGCTGCACACCAGCTCAAACTAGCCAGTTCTGGGGACTCCCAGTATGCTGCTTTTGATCACAACATTGTCCCCATGCACACAGACTTCTCCAGCTGAGCCATAAACTGATTCTCAGCTTGAACTGCCAGCAGATTTGGAACATTTCTGAATTGTTTACTGGAACATCATTTTGAGAAATAAGTCAAAAGAACATTGAAAATGTTAATTGTAAATATTCATTTTTTTTTTTTTTTTTACAGGTTTCTTAAACGGATATATTTCCAAGATTGAGCAGTTGCTAAATTTGTTTTTTTATTTGGTCTCATAAGTTATCAAAAGGACAATTAAAGAGACATTTAGAACAAGAAATGAGTAGAATAATAAAGATACATACTGGGTCAAAGCTTAGTTAAAATAAAGGACAACTTTTTTCAGATCTTTATCAGAAGGAAACAATAAATAAAACCATGCATTAGAGGTTGATATTCTTCATTTAAGCCAAAATCATTGTAAACCAGCTGTTAGCACTAAGGTCTTTCAGAAGTTGTTGCTCAGAAGTCATGTAGAAAAGAGACTTAAAAAAAAACAGATGGGTTAGAAAGAAATGTCAACTGTTTCAATCTCTGTGGTTTAACAGTAATCTGAAAGATCTAGTTTATGAGAACTACTGCTAAATGTGACCATGTGGTGATAAAAGATTACACAATCTGGGGAAAGGTTATGTAAAAAGATAGAGGAAGTCTGAGGAGAGCAAAGGTATGCGAAGTAGAAAACAACTATTAAGGAAAAAACATTCGGAACCGGAGCAGAGGCGTAGCCGATGGTCTTAAAAAAAAAGAAAAAAGGTTCAAATGTAAGCAGGCAGTAGTGGCATTCAAGTATTATTGTTAGTACTGAGCGTTAATGCGTCTTCCTCTTTTTGGTCCGGAAACGCCTTTTCCTCTGCTTGTAAAGGTGCCGAAAGTTAATAAAAAGCCCTGAGAGTAGAAAAAAAAGATCCGTCAGTATTAAAAACACACTTTTGATAAATAGTGCATTTTTAGATATACGTTTTCTGTTAACTTTACCCAAAAACATGAGAATCAGGTAGATTTGCAGGACGTAAGAGAAGCTGATGGATGTCCCAATTGCTTTCGGCAGAGGAATGCTCAAGAGTTTGGTTTGGTCAAATATGGGAATGGACTGTATCACTGCGACAGCTTTATGGAATAAAAACATGCATATTAATATGTTGATGTAAAAAAAAAAAAAGAGACTCATGAACTAACTCACCTTCAGCTAAGACACCTAATGGGTACAGGGGGATCCAGACTGTGTAGCGCAACCAAGTGAGAGTTTTCCACTCGGTGTTAAAGCAGCCCAGCATGTAAAACGGATACCTGAATTAGAGCAGGATGTTTGCTTTACTTGGGGGGAACAGATGCTTGTATGCCACCAGATTTGCATTTATAACAATATTGCTTTCAAACTCGTTTCATTAGGCTGTGGATTCTGCTGATCAGAAATGGAAATGAATAGTCTGTGTAGCTTGGAAACAAAGATTTAGAGCTTCTGAGTAAAAGTCTTTGACAAATGTTGGTAGAATGACGCTTCATGTCTCCAAGCTGGATATTATACACACCGTGGACATGAAAATGAACCAGTGGTTTGAAATTGGGGTGAACACTTCTGTCAAAATATCTTGTTTCTGTCATTTACCTTTTTTTATATATATTTTTAAACAATTACATGAGAAAAAATATTTTTTTTATGCAGAAAATGTTTTGTAATTGTGATAGCTGCTGAATTGACTAATGCAGACTTGGTTGACAACGTTCTCCAAGTAGAATAACCTATAGTAGGTTATTGCTTAGGAAACCTGGCTGATAATAGAGTGCTGTAAACAAGCATGGTAATGGAAAGTTAAGCTTTTATTGAGGTGTAATGATGGCATAAGGTTACAGTGCACAAATCCTGTTTCAAAGTCCTGGGTACAGAACCTGGTCAGGCTTGATGCCTTTGTTTTCCAGACAGACCATTAGATCCTTGCTACACATCTTTCCTCTTCCCACCCTACTTACTGTCACACTTTAAAAATAAAGGCCACAGGTACCAAACAAAAGGTTCACAAGGGAATTTCTTCATTATAGTAAATTTTGTAGGTCTAAGAATTTGCGGTAGAGTGGTGAGACAGAATCCAAGCTACCACCATCTTCCTCCAGCTTAAAGAAAATTTCATTTTGCAGCAGGACTTGGCACCTGCCCACACCGCCTAAAGCAGCAATACCCGAGTTAATGATCCTAGTTTAAAGGGGCTTGATCGGTCAGCTAAATCAACCCGATCAAAACCACAGAGAATTGGGTGTTGCAAAGAAGAAGCTGAGCAATCCCGATTCCAACGGTAATTAAACTAAAGACTTCAAATCTTTTATTCATTTATTTTTAAACCTTTAATGGTATTTCAAGACATGTGCCAAGGCAGTTTTACTCTACAAAAGAAAATCTGAAGTCCTAATTGCAAAACTGGTTTTATTACCTCAGGTTTTTATAGAGCATTAAAATAGACAGCCCACTTTGCTGTAGTAATAAACTGTGTTCCAAAGACCTTTAAACATTTTGATTATTCTGGTGTCAGTGAATATCTAGAAACACAGACCTCCTTAACGCCTCATCAGAGTGAGGCTGATCGCACTCATTCTCTGATGCTGCTGATGCTGTATTTCATCCAAAAGGAAATCTAGGCCAAGTATATAGTGCTGTACTTTTATATTTTATTCTACCATCTTGATTAAAACCTATATTTGTATAGTATTAGACATTTCGGAGAAAGTAAAACTTTGGGTATATATGACAATATTCAAACAATTTGCACCTTTACTTACCTAAAAATCTCAATGGTGCTCCAAAGATAGAAAACAAAGAAGACAACTGGCCGGTGGTGCATTTCTTCCAAACTACCAAAAATTATGAAGAGGATAAAGTTCCTTCCAACCACCTACCAAGAGAAAATAAAAGATACACCATGAGATCTCATACATTCATAGTCTATATGACAATTTTAACATTTTGCTGTTAGTAAAACTCACAAATGTATATGCTGTACCTGTATAAGGGTGGGAATAACACCAGTCCGAACTACACCAAAAGCAGCATTCAGCACCTCAACTGATGCCAAGATTTGACAGAAGAACATCACATCCGATATGGTGTGAAATGTGTCGTACAGCGAGTCTGAAATTTGATTAAGTGGTTAAAGTTACAAATGAAAGGAAGGTTTAAAAAAAGCAAACCACATGCAGGAGGATGGTTAAACTAGGCTGGTATTTCTGACCTTGCCCAAAGATGAAGAGGCGTACAGTCATGTTAACGAAGATCCATGAAAATCCAAGAAACTGAACCAGGTTGTAAACAAACAAAAAGCCTGTTTTCAGGCTAACAAACCCTGAGAGAAAAGAAAAATACAATTTATCCACTAAACCAAAAATGAGAGAGAAATGTTTTAGGAAATAAGTTTTAAATCACCTGATAGAATAATTACCTTCTTCTGAATGCCTCAAAGCTTTCAGTCTGTTCCTTTTCTCCTCCTTTTCATAATTTAAAGAAATAATGACTATTAGGATTGATAAAGCATTTGTTTTCCTGATCACCAGCAAAAGAAACACTGACATAAAAAGCACTGTACAAAAAAAAAAAAAAACACTGAGTGATGTTGAAAAATCTTATTTTGCCTGACCTTTTCCTGGATCTCCATCTCAGCGTCCGACTCGTCCAACCAGCGATCGAAGTCTGGGGCCAGGAAAACCGGTTTGCGCTCCTGAGCGGTCAGCCTTTCCCACCAGCCTCGCTGCTCTTTCCGCACTGTGATGTTTACCTGCCGCTGCGTGGACTTGTGTCTCACCTTGAAGCAAAAGAGCATAAATTAAAGTCACGGTAAAAAAAATAAAAAACATAAGAAGTAAAAGCTGAAGTGAGAAGACAAGCATACCTCTGACTTTACTGGTAAAAGAAACTCTAAGCTGAACTCATATTCATGCTGTCCTTTAGCACCATGCCCCAGAGCTGCAGGGATAAAAAAAAAGTGATCATTAGTCTCCATAAAAAAACACAAAAAACTGAGCAATTTAAGGAAAACTACTAAGAGTAGGAAACCATGACTTGCCTTGAAAATGAAGGACATTCTCATGTACTTGGACATCAATATTCTGCAGAAATAAACAGATAGGGGGAATGCCCTTGTACTGAATAAGCATTTGTATAATGATACATTTTAATGGAAAATTGTGATCAAATAGATCTCAAAGCAAGATAAACCTACCTTTTGTAGTCACAGAATGTACTGGAATTCGATTTTAATGTAAGCCATAACCTTTGTTACAGAAACTACTGAACAAATTGGCAGTTTTACATCTCTTCCGCCTAAGATCTGGTCTACCTCATTAACAAATAGCGTTACAAGTTTCAAAATAAAAACTGTGGTAACCTTCAGAGAAGTTGCGGATAGATAATGTGGAGATAGAACTGAGCTAGAAAAAAAAAATCCGCCCTCGAGTTTCAGAGGTTATTTCAGGCTTTACTAATCCACGAATCCACCCACGCGCTACTTCAAGCCCTTCCACTCAACTAATTCTGATATGAACAGGTTTGGTGAGGGAAAAGAAAGGGAACCTTGTGAAGATGTCATATCAGCGAAGCTAATCTCAGTTTGTATATAACAGTATGCAAACAAACTGCCATCTTTATTTGCATTTGTATTCTGCCATCTGAAGTAATAAAAAGAACTCAGGACAGCAGGTGTGTTGAACTCACCAGTGCATCTGTGAGCTCCACGCGCAGGTAGATTTCCTCGTGGCGTTGTGCCCAGTAAACAAGAGGTGTCAGCGTCATTATTGAAGCTCTAAAAAAGCTTATTTTCAAATGAAATAACACTAAAGAAAATGAATGAAGCCCCTTGCAGCATGCTAGCTTCCTGGAAGGTCCTCACCAGAATATTCTGTCAATGCGCGCGCACATTCTGTCACGGTGGAGACGTGCTCGTTCACGTTCGGTCCTCTCCTCTGATTGGCTGGAGATGTATATTTACGGAAGCATTACGGGTCCTCAGCAGTTGTTTTTTTTGTTTTGTTTTCTTTACATAACACGAAATAAAAAAATAGAATATAGTAAATTAGTTAGTAGTTTACGAGAAAATAAATTGCAATTAAATACACAAGATAGTTTGGACAAACGTTCTACTTCAAAATATTTTTTGTAATTTAAAGAATAACCATAAGAAAACGAAATTGATAGAAAGAATTTAATATTTATTAACTTAATTATTATTTAAAGAACAATTTCTAGAGGGAGGGGCTGTTTTATTAATATATATATATATATATATATATATATATATATATATATATATATATATATATATATATATATATATATATATATATATATATATATATATATATATATATATATATATATATACTGATCCACACTCCATTCCCGTAGATGGCGGTAATGCACACCAATAAGCTTGCCAACCGCCATAAAAAAAAAGTAGAAATAAAAAGAAGAGGAAGAAGAAGAAGTAGAACTAGACAGTAGATGAAAGTTTAGAGCTACACACTCTTGTACAGTAGGTGGAAGTATGCACCTGCACCTATAAGTTGTTTGCAATCCGCAAATTAAAGGAAAGAAGAAGAAGAAGGGTTCACAGCAGCTAGCCAGCTAACTGCTGCTAATCCTCGGCTAATATGCAGCCAGAGGACCCAGCATCGTCTCTGAAAACTGATTTGTTAAAATCACCCGATACGTTTTGTGTTCTTGTGGGTGTAACAGGGAGCGTTGCAGCGTTGAAACTACCAGTCTTGGTCTCTGAGCTTCTTCAGCTCCCCGGGGTGAGCTGATTCATAGTCATTTATTTACATTCGTTATAAGAAACTCGTTTTTAGTTCATCTGGCTGCACGATCTTACATTTTCCGCATGGTGGAGACATTAGACACAAACATCAATATAAGTGCATCGTATAAGTAAGACAAATGCATTAAAGAACACCTTCATATGGTATAATACTTTATTTCTAAAATTAATTTATTTTGCAATTCCATGACCTACAGCTATTGATTGGAATTCAGAAAGAAGCTTCTGTATCACTTTGTATAAACTGATAAAAGTATTCACTCCAGCTGCAGTCAGATTTAATTTATCTGCCTTTATGCCGCACTGTTGGATCTCTGTGAAGAGAACTCTGTGAACTGCCAGGTTCATTATCAGTGGATTGTTGGACTTATCTTCCCTTTAGTAGGGAGTCAGTGACTGGATGCTGCACACCTGTAAAGAAAGTTGGCCTCAATATGAGCTCATAAAGAAGTATTTCTATATTACAAATCCCATTAGTTGGTCTTATGTCATATGCAGATTTTATAAAAAAGGACAATTATGGTTTTCAGACATGATAAACCACAGTCATAATAGAAATATTTGATTGAAATATATTTAGTTATGTTTAATAGGTTTGAAACAGTTAATCAGATTAATTGCGATTAATCGATTATTGAAATAATCCACAACTGTTTTAGTAACCAATTAACTGGAGTGTAGAGTCTCTAAAACATAACTATAGCTGACAGCGCGATTCACCTTAAGCAGGAATTATACCAAAATTATAAGGTAGATATTTGCATTTAAGATAAAAGAAAAAAAAAATGTTTCGTCTATCAATATGCTGTATCCAGGACTCCTTAAGTGGAAAAGATTTAGTTTGGTTTAATTTTGTTAAAAGTCTTCTTTAAGGAATCTTTTGCTACCCAAATATTAATCGATTAATCAAAAAAATAATCGTTAGTTGCAGCCCTTATGTTTTATTAAGTTTCTAATAGGGACGAGTTCCACTTTTGAGTTTTTGGTAATATTTTAATTTGTTGAGATACCACTGTGATGATATGGCTTGGTGCAAGTTTGCAGTCAAATTTGCTAAGATATTTTGGTCAGTGTCTTTGTTTCTTTTTTTTCCTCAGGTGAAAGTAAGAGTGGTCACCACAGAGCATGCCAAACACTTCTACAGTCCCTCAGATGTTTCTGTAAAGATCTACACTGACAAGGATGAGTGGGAGGTAATAATAATGGGAAACACCAGAAAGTACCTAAGTGGGTGGGAGTGAGATTCTCTTACCATGATAAATACCATGATTTCACTGAGTAATAATACTCAAAATATTTAAACAAAAGTGGCTTGCAATCTAATCTTTTGAATAAGCAATTACAGCAAAAGTTATATTATTACTGCTATTATTTTTCTATTGTTGTTATAATGATATTGGATATTGATCCTTATAGTTGCACACAAATGTGACATTGACGATAGTAACAATAATGTACTTAAAACCCTTGTTTTTAGTATTTTAATGTACAAAATACAAAATTATAGAACATCATATATATAATGCTAGAATTAAGTCTAGGAACATTATGCATATTTGTAAGCCATAATAGAGCAGTTCAGACATTTTAAGTCACAGAGATCTAATAAGAGACCAGCAAAGATTGTGCAATTTTGGCCCGACATCCTGTCTCCTGTTTAGCTCTGGACCCAAAGATCCGATCCTGTGCTTCACATTGAGCTGAGACGCTGGGCAGACCTGCTGATCATTGCCCCTCTTGACGCCAATACTCTTGGAAAGATTGCTAATGGGATCTGTGACAACCTACTGGTGAGAATGTAACATTAATATCCTCAAGTTTAGAAAAAATTATAATAGCAAACTACATGTGTTTTAATGTTTTTCTGAAACAGCTTAGTTTGATTGGAATTAATTTCTTTCAGACGTGTGTGGTGAGAGCCTGGGATACCAGTCGACCTCTCCTTTTCTGTCCTGCTATGAATACAGCTATGTGGCAGCATCCCATCACGGACCAGCAGGTCTCCAGGCTAAAAGAGTTTGGATATGTAGAAATCCCCTGCATTGCTAAGAAGCTAGTCTGTGGGGATGAAGGTAGGTTTTTATCTATATTTTAAGTTCTTAATAAACTATATTCCTTACTGAATACTTTGGTAAAAATAACCTACTGCTGATGTTAGATTTTTTTTTTTCAAAAATATGAGAAAAATCTGAAAATATAAAACAAAATCCTCAAGTGTTTCATAAACTAAAATTGCAGAAACTAAAGGACAAATGTTAGATAAAGAGTAAAACTGTAAAACACACTGCCCCAAAAACCACTTACACAATATTTTAAAAACTGATGGCAAATTCAAACAAAACACTAGTTTCACAAGAAATAAAACAACCCTATCAAGTGAGAGGAACTCTACAGACATCGCTTTATGAAGAACGAAACAAACACAGCATGTGTTTTATTGCCAAAATTAGATATAAATGTTAAAATAAACAATTCGTCTGGATTTTTTGTGCTTTCTCCTGCGTTATTTATAATTAGAGACATTCCAGCAAATTTAACCACAGAAAAATAAAATGTGCTTGGCACTATCAAATGAAAACTGTTAAGGCTGTAAACAGACCAGTTACCTTACACTTAACGTGGACTCATTTTTACAATCTGTTAAAAAAATAAAAATAAATAAATAAATATATATATATATATATATATATATATATATATATATATATATATATATATATATATATATATATATATATATATATAATATTTTTTATTATTATTTTTCATATATATATATATATATATATATATATATATATATATATATATATATATATATATATATATATATATATTACTGTTCTAGTTTTGGAACTGTTTAACTGTTCCCAAAAAAAAAAAAAAAAAAAAAAAAAAAAAAAAAAAAAAAATATATATATATATATATATATATATATATATATATATATATATATATATATATATATATATATATATATATATATATATATATATATATATAAATTTATTTTTTTTCTAATGCCTTCTTGGAATTTTGCTGGAATGTGTTTACAAACTAAGCTGTTGGTATTTTCATATGTTTTTGGTCAATTTCTCACTGAATGCGGGGTCAGGTACTTTCTTAGTCAAGTTGAAGAAAGTTGACTCCAGTGTAATGGACCTCAGCCTTTGTAGTTCTGTAAAGCAACTTTGGCAGCAGAGACATCAGATTGTATAGAAAGAGGTAGAATATGTCGGCTTAGTTTTTTCCCTGTTAGACGTTGCATACTACTGTAAAAAAGCTTACATTATTGCTTCCTTGTTGTTGCTTCTTAGTCTCCTGATGAATCATGCTGCATTAAATTTCGTAATATTTCAGCAGCTCATTGCCACGTTAATCAGCCATTTTCAGCTTTTTTTGAGAAGTTTTTGAGAAGGCTTGATTTTATCTTTCCTATTCCCTCAGTTACACTTAACTTACATTTACTGATCATTATAGAAATAGCAGGCAAATGTCACGCTGTCTTTAAGTACTCTTTACACAGCTGCAACTTGCACATGCTTGTTGGTGAAAGTATTAGTGCTAAGCATCACGACTTTAGCTTATTTGGTTGTGATTTCAGATGATTCTAAAGGTTTTCCCATTTACCTACTGATTTTTTTCCACTTGATCAGATGAAAGTCAGATAGGAGACGTCGTCAAATTTGGCCTAAAGTCAAAGTTTTCAAAGTTTATCTAAATATGATGTCAGCTTTCTGATGGATGATGATTGACCTTGTTTTTTTATTTATTTAAATCTCTTGTTTCATTCTGAGTGTGTATAGTCTGAACTTTCAGTTCATATGAGAATCGGAAAATTATCAGACTGCCTCAGGTACAATATACCTGTCATTTATTGTAATACACTCATCAAAAGTATATAGAGACATATAATGGAAAAACACATAGATTTCAAGTTTATACTCCATGTTTTGATACTTGAAACAAGCTTCATTACTTGCTTGTCCCACTACTATGACAAATGTCACCACAGTTTAAAAGACTGCTATAATTAAGGGAAATGATAAATGCCACAACTGCCAGAGGTCAAATCAACCTACTGAGTGCGCTCTGTGATGAACTCAGATAGTGCCTTATGCAGTCTGTTAGGTTACCTGATAGAAACGCCTTTTATTTGACCCAGGGCTTACATGACCCAGTGTGGTTCCAAAGTACTTGTCTGATTTGTTTAACAATTTGTAAGATATCTTTGCTAGTAAACAGGTAATACATAAACTTTTTATCTAAACAACTGTCATAAGTTTTATGCATCATTTGGTATTCCTAAATATTTTCTCTGATGCCTTCATTTCTCAGGCCCTTCTAGACTGTATAATTTTGGCTGCACAAACAGTCCAGTAACAGTCATTGCTGGCTTTTAAACTCGGCCTTGAAGCCTCCGGTGATACTTTTGTTTAAAGATTGCCTGGATGACACAGCAAAATCAGTTGTTAGCTCACACACTCCAACCTTTAGATAATGGAAATACAGAAGTGTACTAGAAAAGGGCGTAGCACCAAAAAGCAAATGTTGTGTGTTAGAAACAATTTGAAAAAGTAAGCTTTGTTCATCAATGGTGATTGGACCACAAGTTAGTTTGCCTCTTTATGCTGTGTCAAAAATTTAAAGTGCAATGTGCTTGGCTTTCTGTACTTCATTAATTCTGATGCAACCGTTTAATGTTGATGAAACACTATTAAGAATGTGCTTTGTCTGATCAATGAGGGATTGTACAGGTTTGATAAATCTGCATTACTTAAGTCTTTTATTTTTGTTTTTCTGTTGTTTTTTTAAATTTTACATTCATAGACAAAGTGGATAATTCAAATAACAGTGACAGAAGATGGATACAGTGTTTGTATGAGTGTGCGAGTGTTGGTGAGTGTAAATTGTGCAACAGAGAAGATGGCTAGGTATTATTTTAGGAAATGGTAATCTAATGATAGTCAAAAAACTAAAATATGCACTATCATGCCTGAAATGTTCATTATTGACATATTATTACCATGAATCTCCTTCAGGACAATTTATTTTTTATATATTTTTTTGAAGTGATAAATGGATGAACTTTATTTTTCCTTTTTGATGCACTTCTTTAACTTCTTCTTTTGTTGTAGGTAAAGGCGCCATGGCAGAGGTATCGACCATTGTCAGTATTATCAGGCAACATCTTCCAAATCAAGATGAGTCGCTGCAGAAAACGTGAAAGTTTCCAGGAGAAACCATCCAGCTGAGACTATCTATTCAAGTTGAATAGCTTTCATACTTTTGTACAAAGGTTTTTTTTTTTTTTTGCATAAATACGCCACCTGGTATAGTTTATCCTTCATGGGGTGGTCAGTAAGTCATGGAGTTGCATATCTTGTTGGAGGAAAATCTTCCTCTGTGTAGCTGTAAACGATCTCTGTCATTTTTACTAAAAAATTGAAAAACTTATGTGTGTACTTTAACTGTTCACAGCCACCCAGTTAGAGCAGGAATGTCCTTTCTTCATCTTCTGACCTCATCGGCAGACAGGTTTAATTAAAGTTTGAAAATATTTCTTCACAGTTAAAACGTTTTTAATTAAAAAGGTACTTTTAAATGTGTCCATTTATGTTGTGTATTTTTTGCAGAATGTCTAACTTATAACACTGTTTTGGTATTTAAATATAGTTTTTTTCTTTGAAGTATTTTGCATGCACTCTATAAGGAAACACTATTTTAAAGAAGCAGAACAAGCACCTTAATCAAACTGGTTAACAGACCGGATTCTGTTACTATTGTCTCTACAGTGGTGAGGTGTAAAACTGACAGTTGTGAGAGCTCAGAAATAGTTCTTACTGACAAAGATTAAAATAGTTTGCTGTTTGTCCAGAGGCTATTTGTATAAATAGATTCAACCTGCTTGTAGCGTTGTTTCGGTATGAATCCAGCTTTTCTGTGGAAGCCTCAGAGGTTCATTAGAAAATAGTTTTTTTTAGAGAACAACCAGTATCATAAAGACTAAAGGAACGCAGCACACAGATCGAGATAGTTGTGCTTCAAACAACTAATGGAGAATTGTTCTAGCCAAGTCTACCATGCAAAAGCAAAAACGGTTTGACAGAACTGTTAATCTACCAATAGTGATCATATTAACCTAAACTGACAGGCTGACTAAAGAGAGTGTCAAAAAAGCAGACAGTAGGTCTGTTGTAACTTCGGATGAGCTGCAGCGATCCACAGCTCAGGTGGGAGATTCCGTTGCCAGGACAACTGTTACTCCTATAAAGTCATTTAAACAAAGCCACACAATTCTACATCTGAATTTTGCCTTAGGCCATTTTGTTTTGGCAACTAAACATGTGGAGGATGGGTTTCTAGTTACATGATATCAAAATATGTAATTTAACTTGACATTCAAATCACCCTAAACATACTATCATTGCAGTGGAACAGTGATGGTAGCATCATGCTGTGGGAACGTTTTCTTCTCCAACAGAGAACTGCAATGTGATCAGAGCTGATGGAAATATGAACTAAGCAAAATAGACAAAAGCTGTCAGCAGCTGCAAAAAATGTGAGGCAATGTCAAAGGTTTACCTTCCAGCAGGGCTATGTAGCTAAAGTGACATAGTCACATATATCTCTGTGTTAAAATAGCTCAGTCAAAGCCTAGGTTAAAATGCAATCTAAGAATTTGACTTGGGACTAAAAATCAATCACTAATATCCAGTCTGACTTGGCTCAAGCTGTTTTGCAGAGATTATTAAGTGAGCTTTTTAAATCTTAGATGTACATTCTGTACTTGTCAGTTAAAATTCCATCTAAATAGCTGAAAGTTGCTGTTTGCAGCTTAACAAATAGTCCAAATGTTCAGGAGTACATTTCAAAGCACAGTTTAAAAGACTTAGCAGTGAATAATTTGGAGGTTTTTATAATTGCATCATCAAATGTTTTTAACTACGCTTTGTTCCAAAGATCAGCAGTGGAAAAAACCCAGAGATCAGGTTAGCGTGAGACATTTTGACTGCTATCAATGCTACTATCTGGCAACAAACGCGGATCTACCTCTGGATGTTTTTTTTTTTATTAAAGTTTTCGAAGTCGGACCACAACTTGCTTACATCTTGGGAGGAACAGAAAATTATGACTCTTGTACTAAGCTAGAAAGAAGAACATATGGGCCATCATTGCCTTCTGGTTAATCACATTCAATATGCCAAGACCGTCTAAAATCAGATATTAATTATTTTAGCATGTAACACCAGCTCCACGCTGCCTGAACGCAAAAAAAAATGCGTTTCTAACCTCATGTGAGATACAGCTGCTTCTGAATTATTTTGTTTTGTGTTTTTTTTTTTTCCTCCACTGTCCAAACAGTTTTCTTTATCTTAGTTTTAAAATCATCTTCCTGGCTTTAGTGGGACTGCAGGGAATTTGTTAGGCAAATAACCAGGGGGGGCTTGTTACTGTTGAGCTGTCAAGGTTGCTGCACATGGAGCCGTGTGAGTGGCTCCCGAAATGAGAAGCATCCTTTCCCGAGCTTCAACCTGGCCCGCAGCGATTGGCTGCTGTCTGGCTTTGTAATGAGGCTCAAAGAAATCATGACATCAATGACGTACTAACAAGGGCAGCTTTTGAATTTACAGCCAACAGGTGTGCTCTGTATAGGAACAAATGCATAAAACTGTTATAAAGTGCTGTGAACGAGGATCTGTCTTACAGGTTTTGTGTTGTAAAAACATGATTACAAATAAATACATAATAAATAAATGGGCATACAAATAAATACAGAAGTATAACAAATTAATAAACAATTTCTCTTTAAGTTTTTTATTACTTTTGTAGTATTTACCTTATTTATTTTTCATTCCTATATTGTTCTACCTTATTTTTGTATTTTTTTAATTTTATTTCAGTGTATGCTTTATTATGTCCGTTTATTTCTCTTCCTTTCTATTTTTTTTTTTTTAAATCCCATTTATATCTTTATTGCTGTTTATTTCTGCCTGTCTAGTTTACATTTCTGGATGTCTTTCTGCCTCATCATGCAAATAAGTAATGGTAGGTCCTTCTGCTGGTTGGTTGGACTGCTTGTAATCTAAATGCTACTAAGCGACCACAGTCATAAAAATTAAAACTTCCTAGGATGAGTTTATCACTTTAGCTGACCCGAGGCATTTATTTGAAAATAGCGCTATAATTTAGAACCTGTGTTTCAGTTAGCTTTACACATGGGTGCAGCTAACTGAGGTAGCAGGAAACCTTAGAATTGTCTTTTTTTCCCAAGAGAATCGAGGAAAATTAAAATGTTTTTGGTATCTCAATAATCCCCTTTGCAGCTTTGGCCTTGAAATGATTCTCTGGAGCCCCTAAAATAGCTTTGAATATGATAAGCAGTCTAATATCTTCCAGTACTTCTACTCAAATCAAGCCATGGTAGGCTATGAGATATGCTTGGTATCTGGCAGGGCGACCAATAAAAAAAACCCCAAGCTTCAAATCCCTCACAGACAGAGTGGCATTTTCTCTCAGGATTTCCTGGTACGATATTGAAAAAATCTTGCTCTTCACAATCTGCAGGTTTCCAGTGTGAGAGGAAACAAACCGGTGAGCTATCAGCCGAAACACTTTCACTTTTGAGTTTCAGGTTCAAAGAGCTCAATTCCAAAATCCTGTTTGTCTTATTTAAACTCATAAACAAAATGGAGCTGACTGGGCATGTGCTTATGGATCATAAGTGGTTTGTCTGTTATATTTCAGGCATGAATCACTTCAGCAATAGGGCAGTGCCGTATTGGGCAAACTGAAACTTTAATGGCTTCTGCAGATCTTCCAGAGTCAGTGGAGGGATTTCGCTCACCTTCCTCCTCAGGAATCCAAGGGCAGATGTTGATGCCTCCCTTCCGTTTTGGTCACATCTTGGTGGTTAAACTACGACTCATTAAACTTTCAATTTGCAAATACAGCTTTAATACCAGGAAGCTTCAGTGACTTCATCTGTTTGCATAGATTCTTTTTTGTTTGTGCAGGGAAGTTCACTTCTCTGAAATCTTTTGGATAATTCTCTGGATTTAGTCATATTTTGACTCCAACAGTGCAGCTATTTTAAGTACCGTATCTTAGGCACATATGACACAGCTAATACAACCCTTGCTTTTGAGAGGAATGCCAATCAGAGGGTTGAATTCTGAAGCAAAATAAATGCTGGCAGTAGGCTTTAGTGTTTGCATTTAATAAAACACATTTTTTCTAGATGTTATTACTTCTGATAAGACATTTGAAGTGAGTTGAAGTGATAGATAATGATTGTTAAGTAAATATAGAAGTTGATTTGCTGTTTTTTTTTTTTTTTAAGGTAACATGGTTTCCATTTTCATCACCATCTTTGGATTTTAACGGTGAATCCAATTGCTGTACCTTCTGTTTTTACAGCTCTAAAAGGTTGGGATTTTTTTTTTTTTTTTTTTTTTTTTTTTACGGCTGACATAAGCACCAAAGGTCAACGGTGAAGAAATCCAGGGATCGGATTTGGTTTAGACATGTTTACCACTGTGAGAACCTTCATCTCCTAACAAAGCGTAAGAACAAGTCTGGAGTTTGTCTAAAAAGACACACATTGTATCCGCAAATGAAACTAAACTTCACCATAAGACAATTATTCACCACTTTGATGGTGGTATGATTTTTTTATATGTTAGGATTTGGATTTCAAGGTTATAATCTAAGCATACAGTATTTTAATGTTCTCCATTTGTTTAGTTTAGCAGGCTTTTAGATAAAGTCTGCTGCTTTGAAGGCCCTGAAGGTTTTTTGTATCTGTAGATACATTCAAAATGATAAAATACCTAAACAATTTTGTTGAACTGCAATTCATCCAGTCCAATCTTAATTAGAAACAGAGCACAGCAAGATTTGGGAAGTAACTAATAACCATTTGGTAAATACTGAAGCAGCAGTATTTCCAATAATATAATTCTAAAACTGTGTAAACAAAGATAAAACTAAAAGACGGCTTTAAAAAATAAAGTTTGGGAAGTATTAACTGCACTTTTATATAAAAAAATATTTTAAAAACAAATTATGTGTATCTACTAGACTACAAAGGTTATGAAAAAAGTACTTTAAACACATTCTAACATAATTATATCACAGCAGCTGCCTTGAAGTCTGAGAGGTTTTTGGCCCAGAATCACACATTCTCAAATGGTGAAGCTTTTGAATTCTTATACTTTCCTTTTGTATTAGCCATGCCTATCATCTGATAATTTGATAATGATTAGATCATTTTTGCATTTATTTCTCATCGGTTAGGTAGAAATGTTTGGATCACAAACCCCTTCTTTTAATTTACATA